TCCAGGGCACACATTATTATAAAACAATTGTTTTTGTCTTTTCCTTGTTCGTCGTCATTGTGAACCTCCCGGGTGGTGGTGCTGATGTAAGAAAAATGTGCTTATTGTTTCTTATAATAAAAGAGATATATGGGCCATTTAGATGAATGTGCTGCAGATTTCATAATGGTATTTAAAGACCTCATGGCCTGCTCTGCCCCCATGTATGTGTTAGGATTAATATGGTCATCACAAGGGTTAATGACCCCATGCTGTAAAGACACCCTGTTGTGATAAAAAAAAAACATTCCAAGGGAAGAGCTAACTGTACTGGTAGAGAATCCATAAGTACTTTTCCTTCCATTACATTACTGAGCATTGTTCTGTTGCTGAAAAATGGTCCACAGGATGTGATGGGAAGCCAACACCTCTAGGAGTGTTGATCTTGATGGTCTCCCACAAGTTCTTCTTCATGTCCTCCATTTATATAGCACTGACAATTTTCACTGCCCTTTTCACTATTCATTCACATCATTCGCTGGCCTTGAGGAACTTGCAATCGAAGGTCCCTATCTGACATGCATAAGCTAGGGCCGATTTACCTTTGCAGCAAACCGGAGTACAAGCACTGGGATAGGATGCAAACCTCTTGCAGATAGTGTTCTGGGACTTGAACCAAGGACCCCCATGCTGTAAGGCAGTAGAGCTAATCACTAAGCCACTGTGTTGTCCACATCCCTGATGTCTCATGTGATCACAACTATTGAATCCAGAAACAACCAGGAAACTAGCATTTCAGAAGGAGATCGGCAATGACATCCTCCATATCCCCCCTTAGGACAGATATCCTTTAAAATACATAGGAGAGAGGCGCCATCAAATGATTGGCACCTCACCTACTGTCATGTATGGGTACGCACACACTTATGCTCTAGACTAGCACACTGTCAGGGCTATTCACTAAAGGGGTGAAGAGTTTAGAGAAGTGAACAATCTAGGCCAAAATATCTGATTTGGAAAAATCCTCCAATTCAGCTCACTTTCCAGTTCAGCTATGTTGTCCTAGATTGTTCCTTTCTCCTGCCTTCTCCAAACCCTTCACTGTTTAGTGAATAACCCTGTAAATGATCAATACATTCCTAATTGGTAAAGATAATCGATCAGTACGATGAGCCTGACAACTGTTGGGAACAGAATCACTCCACATAAAATTTCCAGTTCACTTATAGCTCGATTCTGTGAGCGGATTCACCTGCCAGCATTCTACGTATCTTGTGGACTCCGCCCATCTAGAAGCTTTGCCTTATGCCACAAAAAGAGTTCTCTGCAACTGTCACGTACCTTAAGAGAGTCTGAGGTGTTGATGGCGGCCTCTCTCACCTCCCTGGTCCTGGGGCACCGGGGCACAGAGGGGCAGGAGTGCCAGTAGTAGTGATGAGCAGGAGTAACAGAGAAAGTTGTAAGTCCAGCAGGCAAGGATTGCAGAGTAGTCAGGAAAGGCCGAGGTCATCCACGTGCAGGCAACGCAGTACAGCGTGTAAGCAGGAGAATCTTCAAGAACAAGCCAATCACTGGAGAGAAGCAGAAGAGTCAAGCCAAGCCGGGTTAGAAACAGAAGCAATTCAGGAACAGGATACAGGGACACAGGGAAGCTGACAATCTGACACCAAAGGAGGTTTGTTAGCCACAGCCTTATATAGCCCAGAGGGCACCAAAAACTCAAACAACACGTCGGCGTGCGCACGAACAGGCGCACAAAGCGCACGTTTACGCAGAAAGGCTGCACGTGATACAACTCTATTAGGTGCACTATACGCATGCGCAAACTGAAGCCACTAGATGTCACCCTAGCTCTGTTGCAGTGACGCTTGCCCCTGCCTGTAGCCTGCGTTCACCTCAGCAACATGAAATATGTGCGTTTTGTGTAGCATGTGTTTTTTTTTGCTGATTTGTATGCGCGTTTTATGCGCATGCATGTAGTCACGCGTTATAATGAGCAGATTGCTGCACATTGAGGTGAATGACAGAAGCGCGTTTTACGCGTGTAAAATATGCAAACAAATGCAGCAAACGTGTGTTTTGAGCATTTCCATTCAAGTCTATGGGGCCAAGTAGTGCAGAATCTGCCATAAAGAATCTCATGTACTTTGTTCAGGCGACAGGCGTTTTGCTACAAGTGACATGATGCTCAGATGTGAACATGGCTATAGAAATGAATGGGAATTTTTTTGGCGCCGTTTTTGTTATAGCGTTTTTAGGAGCAGAAAAAGTGCTACAAAACGCTCAGTGTGAATGAGGGATTATTCATTACAACACTGAGATTGCTCAGTGGTGGTTATAACGAAGGCTGACCCTCTCATTCACGTGTCATTTCAGGTCAGGGTGAAGCAAAGAGCGATTCCCTGACAACAGAGAAAGGGATGAATCGGGAAAATGGTTTAGCTACAATACCTGCAATGTATATCGAATATCTGGAGGGGATTCTATTTTTTTCAACAAAACTGGTGAAAATACAAATGACAGCCTAGGCTCCTTCCTACACATCAATCGCGTATTACCATGAAGTACAACACAAGTCTATCATGTTCTCAACACAATGATTATATTTATTAACACTAAACAAGTGACGGATCATTTACAATGTTTTGATTAAAGTCTCGCTTGCTATGAATGAAATTACTCGACCACGAGAGTGGATGGCAGAAAATGTTTTGCTTGTAAGATATATTGGAGAATACGATTAGAATATTAAAATCATTTTATCAATACAGTTATGCTTAAAAGAACCTTATAATTAAACGTTTTTCTTTTCTAGAAGAGAATTGTTATTAACCTTCATTTATAAATAAGACTTTATCCTTTATTTTAAAGGTTCTTATTATTATCCCTTATTTATATTATTAGGATTAATATTATTATTATTAATATTATTATTTTTATCATTGTTATCCCTTTTTTATAAATAGCATTATTATTATTATCATCCTTTATTTATAAAATAACAATATTATTTATTTGATTTTTTATAAAAGAGCATTATTTTTAACATGTATTTATAAATTTGCCTTATTATTATCCTTTATGTAAAAAAAATAGCCTTATTATAGTCATTTACTTTATAAAAGAGCTTTATTATTAATCTCTTTTTATGAAATAACATTATGACTATCCTAGATTTTAAAAAGAACTTTATTATTATCCATTATTTGTTAAAAGGCTTTATTGTTAACCCTCTTTTATAAAAGAGCCTTAATACTATCATTTACTTATAAAAGAGCATTAATACTATCCTTTATTTTTTTAAAGAGCTTAATTATTATCTTCTATTGATAAAATAACATTATTATCTTTTATTTATAAAAGTGCCTTATTATTACCTTTTATTTTTTAAGTGGAACTCACAGACCCCAAATAATTCTGGTTACAACATCACATAGACATCTATAGGCTGGATGCCCGACTGCCCAGATTCCCACGTGTTTGGATATCTTTATTTTCTGGATGGCCCAGAACCCAAAGCATTCCCAAGTCCTAAACACCTCCTTCTAAAGTTTCCAGAGAGGGAGGCTTCTCAGAGCCATGTGATGAGAGGCTGCAGTCCCACAACAATAAAAACATGTAGTGATATAAAATATAATCCAAGGCACACAGAGAGAATATTCTTCCCAATGTTTCCTGGGCAGCTGTTTAGCAATTAATGTTACTCAATAACACACATCGCTCCATGTTATGTGAAGTCAAATAACTTTATTTCTGTGCAACAAATGAATATGAATGAAAAGAAACAACGCTTGATTAAGCAATCTGAGAAAAATAAAAAGTGACAATCTATATATATATTTTTATTCAGTAAAATGTATATCTTTACAGAGAGCGCCAACCCATTTCTTTAGGTTGATATCCATTATGAACAATCAAATGTACAACGACAGTATACTCCCTGGAGAGTAAGATCACAAAAGTCTCTTCTACGTATCTATTCTTCTTATGTACACGTCACGCTTCCTATTATATAAATATTCATTCTGAGACATTATAACATCTAACATATAACATCACATATTAATGTGCTCCAATAAAACTATTAAAAGTGGATCTGGACTCCAACTTTAAACCTTGAAGGGTATTTCCACTGTTGCAGCCACATTGGGGTAACACCTATTTTATATTTGGTTTGTGTTTTTCGTTCACATTGCGTAATATACAATTTTTGTAATCGCTGCTTGTGCAATACACGCTCCATTCTGGTTGAAGAGCTGTTCTCTGTGCTGAGTTTTGCTCTGAATTGCAAGGGGGACTAGATAGGCCGGGCTATGCTGGTTAGCTCTCCAAGTGGTGCAAACCTACGGGCCGTTCGGTGGTTTTGTTAAAGGGGAACCCCTTTCTTGTTTAAAAGCTGATACAGCCTCATTGCCCCAGATCTCTAATTCCCTGCTCATGTGACTGACTCACTGCACAGAAGTCTGTGCAGAGCTTGATATTAAATGTCAGGCATCCCCAGCAATATCCTTAGCTTTGCAGCATTAGGTCTATTACCTATGCAGAGGATGCTGTTTTTATCCTATCGCAAAACTACAACCGGTCAAATGATTACAGCAGGACAACCTCTCACATAGCACTCTGTTACAGCAACGGTTTGTCTCAGTATCTACCGAACAGAAGCAGGTAAGAATGAGCTATGATGGTTCCTCAAATATCCCTGCATTGGGATTGTTGGGGGCTTTTGGGTTCAAACTGAAGTTGATGTGTAAGGTTGCACTTATTGGGATGGTCCACACCAGTGTGTGTTGGGGGGTGGGGGTGGGGGGGGCAGATAGGTTACCTTTCAAAGTTGGGGAGTTTTCATGTTATCACTCACCCTAGCTAACAGTAAAAATATTAACAGATATGTAGTATATAGTATGATATGTAGTATGACCCTCAGCAAGTTTCCAGCCTAAAATACTGGACATTGGAAGTTGCCGTTTAACGGTGTCTGTGTTGCATCAAGCAAGTACATATCATATGACTGGGCAGCTAAAGGCAACACAGATACTTTCCTCCAGTTTTCTATTACTGAAGAGAAAATAAACCTTCATTTCATGAGCTGCTTTTTCTCTTTAAGTCCATTCTGAATATCCTGATAAATATATATATTTGTCATCCTTCGTGGGAGAGCTCCATAGAACATTTCCCCAAGTCTTCAGATAGAGGGCTCCATTGTTATCTTCATGAAACGTCGTCTGCAGCGGCTGACTTCCCGTTACCCCTTCTTGCACTTGTGTACATAGTAACCAGTGACATAACCGATGATAAATATAATCCAGAACAAGGCCAGTCCTCCCAATACTTTCATAATGATTCCGATCCTCCCAGTACACAGCACGTTGTAGACTCTGGAAGTAGAAATAATACGTCACTTTATAGACTGCTTGTGGTCTGGAGTGGATTTAGGAGTAGACGGAGTTGGCCTAAGGCTAGGAGCAGCAGCGTTAAAAGGAGACCTGTATTGGCTACAGTATAGGCTGTCAAAGGGGGCACCCAGATTCAGATAAGCCCCCCTGCCCGCAGACCCCCACAACCACCGGGCTTGGGTTGTGGGGAAGAGGCCCTTGTCCTCATCAACATAGGGACAAGGTGCATTGCCAGGGGGTCCTCCATGGCAAAGCACCCTCCCCATGTTGAGGGCATGTGGCCTGGTATGGAGCAGGAAGGCTGCACGATCACTCCCTCCTACCTTTCCTGCTCTGCCAGGCCACTGATCGGATCCAGGGTCTGGTAAGGGATTTTGGGGGAGACCCCACGCTTTTTGTTTTCTTTTGGTGTTGGGGTTCCCCTAAAATTCATACCAGACCTAAAGAGTCTGATATTAATTTTTTTTGGGAGGGGCCCTATACGGTTTTAATAATTAATTGTGAATGTGAATAACTCAATCTTAATAGATCCGAAAATGAAATCCATCCGAAATCCGTATAACGAATAAAGAAAATGAAAAAAGAAAAATCGGAATGGATCCGAAATGAAAAGTAAAAATGTTTCTGGCTGCTTACATGTCTAATTAGGAGTCTAATAATAGAAGAGCTCCCACAGCGTCCAAACAGACCACGCTCCAAGGATCTCCAATAATAATACAAACTTTATTGAAATCTACAATAAAATGTTAATAAATGGATATACACCAACACCGAAATCCATTATGCGTTTTACCGATAGGCTTATTCATAGAGGACCTGGGGGTTTGTGGTGTTGGCGTGTATCCATTTATTGACATTTTATTGTGGATTTCAATGAAGTTTGGATGATTATTGGGGATCCTTGGAGTGCCGTCTGTTTGGACACTGTTGGAGTTGAGAATGCACCTGTTTGACCAGCACCATTGGGGGCTCCAGAACATGATTGTGGCTGGAGAATCAGAGCGGTGAGATCTCCGTGTGTCTCTAAATAGAAGAGCTCCTGTCACATGCATTGAGCTCTCATATAGGGGGCTTGTTATCCAGTTATGTGATAGCAATAAAGTAAAGTGTAAAAAACTGTTAAATATAATAATTACAAATAATTTGTTTTTAAAGCCCCCCGCATACACACCACACATGTTGGATATCGCTGTGCACGCTGGAGTGAGAGTAATAGTTCTAGGGCCGTCAGTAACTGTTAACTCTAAACTCTAAACTGATAACCTGCAAAGGCTTTTAAAGTGTCGCCTACGGACAATTTTTGGGTGCCAAAGTTTGTTTGCATTTTCATGGGCGCACGCAATTTTAAGGTTTGACATGTTTGGTATCTCTTTATTCAACGCAACCTCATCTTTTATAGTATACCAAAAAATTGGGTAATATGATGTGCTTCTGTGCATCTACTTTGTTTTGGGTTTGACAAACAGAACTAAAAATATGAGACATGAAAAATATGAGACATGAAACATTGAAACCTGCCACCTTGTTATTCTCCGGGGGCTCTGCTTTCAGAAAACATATAATTCTAGGGGGTTTAACTAACCTTCAGGCCTAAAATTCATTCTAACGTCTGCAAAAAAGACTATAGAAGCTCCAAACTTGTAATCTGCATGCTGTGACTGTCCTCTCCTCCTAAAAAGCAGCCTGTCTGTTATGCTGATCCATGGCTTGGATCCACGGCTTGGATGGTTCATGAGTCACTGACACAAAACATAATCATGTGCAGATCAGGAGTTGTGACTCCAATCTACCTTCACCAGGTGCATGGATGTTTCAGGTTAGCAACTTGTCTAGATTACAGAGACAGCCAAGCAGCTAGCATTTTTAGATGTGGGTTAGCAATGGAGGTCCTCTTATGACAGGTTTCATTGGAAGGCAGTGACCACCTAGAACAAAACCAGTTCTCATTACCTTCTCCAGGCCGGTGTCTCTGTGTTTGATGCGTTTATGCTAACTTGATCCTGATTTTGTTCAGTCCAGCGGCTGTAATGAACGCCTGGGGTTTCCTGAGACTCCATCACTACACAGAGCCAAGCTGCGATACGGAAAAAAATGCATTCCAATTAGTTCTATGAATAGAAACGTAACACCAAAGCAGTACAATAGTATAATAAACCGTAAGGCCAAAGCAAAAACATTATTAGATTTCTTTTTGATCCTTATTTCCATGTCTACCTCAAGAGCAGATTTTTCTTGGAAGTTTATTTATTAAGAATGAAGGGAGGAAAAAGGTAAACAATACAAATCAGAGCCAGTTTTTAAGGGCAAAAAATTGTATACTTTAAGTAGCAGGGTGTAGCGTAGTATACAGTAAGCAGCAGGGTTTAGTGTAGGTCCCATGCCCTAGCCCTAAGGCTAGAAGGAGTAGTATCTACTAAGTACTGGGTTGTAGCGCAGGCCCCATGCCCTGGGTCTAGGGTTAAAAGAGCGGAATACAGTAAGTAGCATGGTGTAGCGTAGGTCAGTGCCCTGGCTACATGATTCATTTGAGCAGTACAATAAGCAGCGGGGTGTAGTGTAGGTCCCATGCCCTAGCCCTAAGGTTAGAAGGAGTAGTATCCAGTAAGTAGTGGGGTGTAGCATAGGTCCCATGCCCTGGTCCCAGGGTTAAGAGGAGTGGTATACTTTAAGTAGCGAGGTGTAGAGTAGGCCCCATGCCCTGACCCCAGGGTTAGATGGAGCTGTAAAAGGAAGCACAGGGTGTAGTGTAGGTCCCATGCCCTAGCTCTAGAGTTAGATGGAGTAGTATCCAGTAAGTAGTGGGGTATAGGGTAGGTCCCATGCCCTCGCTCTAGGGTTAGAAGGAGTACTATACAGTAAGCAGAGGGGTGTAGCGTAGGTCTCATGCCCTGACCCTAGGGTTAGAAGGAGCAGTACACAGTAAGTAGCAGGGTGTAGAGTAGGCTCCATTCCCTGGCCCTAGGGTTAGAAGGAGTGGTATACAGTAAATAGCAGGTTGTAGTGTAGGTCCCATGAACTGGCCCTAGGGTTAGAAAGAGCGGTATACAGTAAGTAGTGGGGGTGTAGAGTAGGCCCCATTCCCTGGCCCTAGGGTTAGAAGGAGTGGTATACGGTAAGCAGAAGGGTGTAGCATAGGTCTGATGAACTGGTCCTAGAGTTAGCAGGACCGCTATACTGTAAGTAGCGGGTTATAGAGTAGGCCCCATGCACTGGCCCTAGGGTTAGAAGGTTCCAACTAAAAGATATCACACATCTCATCCCAATATTGCCCTGTGCACTGCCTACACCATTGTTTCTTTACACAAGTAGAACATGGCTTTCATTTCTGCACGTATCCGGCACTGTGGAAATTCCCATTTTAAAGTATAAAGTAACTCTCTTCCAGCACTGTAGCCTCCGAGAAAGCCTTCAACTTTCAGCGCTTCCAGGAGTGTTGAATGCTTGGGACCCCCATCGCTCGCCGTGATTTCATCCTCTGGTCCCTGCCTCACTACAGAAGTCAGTAATGAGGTAGAGGCCAGCGGGAGGAAGCACAGCATGCATGTTCACATGGGCGGCATTCTCCACTGCCCTTGGGTCGCTTTTCAGTAGCAGCGGCTTCCCAACATTAAATAGGTGATACTGTCGCCTCCTGAATGTAGTTTTTTAATCCCTGTGTGGATTTTCTAAGACCAGCATTAGTCTTCTGAAATTCGCTGCTACTGTTGTCTGTGTTCCATGCATAGAGATGGTGCTGAGTGACAGTCATAGCCTTTGTATGGCCACCTTAAAGGGGTTTTCCACCTTCAGCCTACTCAATGTGGCTACAATAATGACTAGCAGAGGTATCGCTTCTCAAACTAATCCCAAGGCTAGGTTCACACCTGCATTACAGCACACCACACCGAGGACACGCGTCCCGGGGCTGCGCGATCGTGTGCTAGTGCACACAGCAATTGCCGTGCTGCCCCATTTATTTCACTTTACAAGTACCTTTTTTTGCTGCTTTTTTAGCGCGACTGGGGTGCCATTAGAAAATAATGGCACCCACAGCGCGATCGGTTCACACCTTGGCAACTCCTGACCGCGCGGCTGTCATGCACAAAACCGTGCGGATTGCCGTGCGGTCAGGAGTCGCCTAGGTGTGAACCTAGCCTCATAGAATGTTTTGGGTGAAGCCGGTTGAGGGGGCTGCTTTAGTACCAACAATGAAAGGGCTGAAAATGGCAGAACCAGTTAACATTGCAGCAACTTTCTTACTTTCCTCCCCAGCTGACCCAATGAGATTCCTAAACTATATACAGGAAACAAACATTCCGTGCCTCACAGCACAGCAAGAGGGGAGGAAAATCATTTAGAAAATGTGAGATCAGGGGTTGTTAAACGAAGATGTCCCCTGCACACCATACAGCAATAGAGACCTTGAAATAACGGTGGTGCTTTTAGTGATGTCCACGCACGGCGCCGTGCGTACAACAGTAAATAACAATGAAGATCACCAGCACTCGTGAGATGAAATAAATCCAAATGTTCATTTTATTCAAGAAGCCGGCTCTTGTGACATGTTTCTTGAATAAAAAGAACATTTAGATTTATTTCATCTCACGAGTGCTGGTGATCTTCATTGTTATCTAAGATCATGGGTTGTGTCTTGTCTTCTGACACACAGGCTTGCTCACCATACACCATGTGTGCTGCAGTGAAAGGCACAGCCTGGCACCCGAAGAGCTCGGCCAGTGAAATATCCAACAACTTAAAGCCTTGAACAGAAAACATTTTTAGTATCGCTTTTGATGTGAAAGCCTAAAGGAAACCTGCACTGACATAAATATGTGGGATGCCAGTGCTAACCTCCTTCTGAGAATGCCAGTTCTCTGGCTGCTTCAGGACTAAATACTTTCTGAGCCACTAAGCATGCAGCTGATGAAGTCATTGGAAGGTCAGAGCTCATGACTGGCATGATTTCTATGGATCCGTGACTAAGAAAGTGCTGAAGCCTTTCTTTATCTTACGAGGAAGTATTAGAAAACCCCACAAAGTTCTTATTCATGTGAATTCCAACCTGAGCTGGAAAAGTCAAGTTTCAGCCCAGTCTATCCATCAAGCGTTGACAGCCAATGCATTTCAGGGGTCATGCACTAACCCATAATTGTGCATGTGCAGTCTGGACAGTGCGGTTATCGTGGATTTTAGTTCTTTGTAAATAGTCGTTTGAAGCTCGTTCTGTAGACTTTTCTGGCTTCCAGCCCTTGATACACCCTTTCATTGTGAAAAAAAAGATTGATATCTTTTGGACCAATCCCTATGGCTTGGCCCATTCTTTCTCTCCATACAGGTTTTTTTTGGCTTCTGTGCCCCTATTGGGTAGATTTCTCCCCACTTTCTGGCTGTCAAGACAGGAAATGAAGGGAAATCACTCCAACAGGGACACAGACAATAACACATTTTTAGTAAAGTGATGAAGGTTCAGAACAATAATGTTTATATTGCCATCTGTGCCTTCTTGTCCCACTGACCACTTGCACCCCCATTTCACCTCTGGGCATCACAAAGACAGATATTATCCACAAGGAGTTTGCACATTCTACTTGTGCTTGCGTGGGTTTCCTCCGGGTACTCCTGTTTCCTCCCACACTCCAAAGACATGCTGGAAGGTTAATCGGCTCCTCTCTAAGTTGGCCCTCTATGTATGTATGTGAGATAGGGAACTTAGATCGTAAGCTCCTTGAGGGCAGGGACTGATGTGAATGTGCAACTATGTAAAGCGCTGCGTATATTGTTGGTGCTCTATAAATACCTGTAATAAATAAATAACTAAAATATTGAGGGCCTGCGCATATTTTCCCAAGGTTGTCTTCTGAGTTTCCCAATATTCACTCAAAACAGGACACTCACTATGCAAATTAGACATGTGCGATTCGTTTCGTTCAGAGTCAAAATTCGGACGAATTTCCCAAAATTCAGACATTCGGGCACATCCAAATTTCCGAATCCCAATGCATCTGAATGTGTTCGAATCCGAATTTTAATTTCCGAATTTCAGATCCGGTCCGAATATCATTCAAAAACTAAACTGCATCGGACATGTGACTTTTCTGGCCAATCAGATGTGTTTTTCGGTTTAATGCACCCAAATGGGTCTGAACACGGATTTCCGTTACAGAAACATGGGAGCCATGTACAGTATATACATATAATACTAAAGCTGAGACTCTTAGACCCGCATGGCATTCAGGAACCCGAATTTCCGAATTGCATGTGGAAGTTCCCGAATGCCATTTGGGTCTGGGAGCCTCAGCATTAGTAATATATGTATATGACTCCCAGACCCGAATGGCATTTAGGAGCTTCCGAATGCAATTCGAAAATTCGGATCCCGAATACCATTCGGGTCTAGGAGATTCAGCTTTAGTATTAATATCTGTATATGGTTTTCTGTGGTATTTGCAACAAATATTTGTAAACTCATCTGAAACTAACGGAAATTCGGATTTAGTCCGAATCCAAAACCCGAATGGAATTTCAGATCCGAATCCCGAAATAACGAAATATCCAAACCGAACCAAATTTTTCCCCAGCTTACATGTCTAATGCAAATATTGACTTCTTGCTCAAAAGTCACTATGCTGCCATGCTCCCCTGCAATGTCCGAGCCTGGCCTTGGTCACCCAGACCCACACACAGCGCCGAGAAGTACCAAAGGAGTACCATAGGAGGCAAGTCAGAGCTTCGGGTTTGAACCCAGAAGCCGTCATAGCCATGAATCTCAGTTCAGGTTTCCTAGAATTCTCAAAAGACCCTATACAGAAGTACATTTCCAGACACCTCTGTAGTTTCCATGTTCATCTTTTAAGTAGGGGGGGGTGACTGATCACAAGCACCTGCACAGGGTTTCGGCAGATATGTCCCACCTATTTAGCTGACCCTATTACACATTTCCCAGGGCGCATTGCTTGAAGTCTTCCTCTTTGCTAGTTCTACTCGAAAATTGGACAACTTCCCTAAATTTCCTTTCTAAATTGTACTCAGTTATGTTGTTCTTGTCTCCAACTCTCAGCTTGCTCATTAATCAGCCATGTTCATTAAAGCGTAACGCCTTAGTGTACTCTATGACATTCCCTCACTCTCCATATTAAATCAGCTGGATTTATAAAACAAGCCATCGCTTACCTCTCTAGAGCTTAGAGGAAACGTCTACTTCTCCGAAGGTCCCGCAGAAGTTTTACTTTGTGGCTCAGGGGAAAAAAAACAAAGTTCAGTGCATGAGACAGGGCTTCAAGCAATGCTCAGCTGACCGAGTGTAGTTCCTTTCTGGAAAGGATCCAAAGCCTTCCTTTGAACAGAAGGGAAAAGAATGAGACTTTGCTGTTTAAGCCAATAGCCATGAGGAGTAGAGGCCAGGGGGAGGTTGTGTAAGAAAGGGAGGGCAGCCTGAGACACACAAGGGGTGGGATGGTGGAGATGAGGCTTAGGAAGAGGGACTGAGCTGAGTCTGATAACTCTGTAAGATGCCATGAATTGTTACATTGTAACCAGTAACTCCTCCCTTGTGACAAATGTAAGACAGAAAAGAACATGATGTAGCTGCAAATACCTGAAAGGCACTCAAGCCTTGAAGCACCGGGACCTGGGTCTGATTCCCACCACAAATGTGGGCTGCATGGATTTTGTATGGAATCTCACTGTGTTTTCATTGTGGTCAGTAGTGATGAGCGAAGTCACTTAGGCGAAATGATGCTAAAGCGGATAATGTGACTTATTAAGAGAATTTTGCTTAAGAAAAAAATCTTTTTTTCCCTACACATTATAGAGCAGGAGCGCCCACAATTTCTCGTCTGGAGATCTACTTTTCAAATGATAAGATCTACCAACGAAAAAACACCTGCATTCAGGGGCGTGGCGGTGCATTGAAGTCACTGGCACAGCAGCCAGCCCCCTGCCTGCAGTGTGATCGCCCGCACCCGGAATGCAAGCACATTAGTCCAGTCCAGTGCGACCTGCAAAAATCCTGCAATTCCAGGTGCGGGCGATCGCACTGCAGGCGGGGGCGTGGCTGTGGTGCCATTGACTTCAATGCACCACCACACCCCCTCCCGCCTCTGAACACAGGGAGCCGGACGGCTTGCGTTCCAGTGCATTCTAGAGGCTGAACACTCTGAAACGGAGACTTTGTGATGTGAACCGGTCCTCTCTCTTGGCTGTCTCTTCTCTCACTTTCTCTGCTGTCTCTTCTCTCTCTGCTGTCTCTTCTCTCTCTGCTGTCTCTTCTCTCTCTGCTGTCTCTTCTCTCTCTGCTGTCTCTTCTCTCTCTGCTGTCTCTTCTCTCACTTTCTCTGCTGTCTTTCTTCTCTCTCTCTGCTGTCTCTCTCCTGTCTGTCTTTTCTTACCTCCACTGCAACAGCTTCCCAGGTCTCCTCTCGTACGCCGGCGTCCTGTCCTCCCGTGGTGCTCATCTGGCCGAATGAGGCCCACGTTGCACACGTGGAGAGGTGTCCCGCCCCTTCCCGTCTGCGGCGTCTGACACATTCAGCCGCACGAGCACAGCAGGAGGACAGGACACAGGTCAGTGAGCCATTCGCAATCTACCAGTGTTCGCTTTGCGATCGAACTAATGGGCACCCCTGCTATAGAGTATAGGGGTGTATTTTGTAGTTTTTAGGGTAGTTTTATTTCATTAAAGTGACGCTAAACTCAGCCGTTAAATCTTAAAAATGGATTAAAGTTCCTTAACTATAAACACAGATGTATCTTGACACTGTCCTTCCTTCTAGATTGTGGCTACTTTTGTTCCCCATGGTCCCTGTGTGTGTTGTAAAGTAGTCACCGCTCCAAACTCACTCCACGGGATGGACTACAATCTCATTACAAATTAGTAAATGAAACCTGAGTTTTTTCTAATTCAGCCTGCAGGATAAAACCCTCAATTCCCCCGTCTATGGTAACAGCTGGGATGGAGGAAACCTCCTCCCACACTGGTTTATTGTATTCTGACAGAGGCGGGTGTGCCGCTAACAGAATATCTGAGCAGTGACTGTAGTTGATTGGCTGCAGCCATTGTTTGGCCGAGAATTTTCAGACCAAATCCTTTGAGAAAAGTTGATCAAAAAATCAAATGGAGTGATGCCAGCTTGGCCACACAGTACTTAAAAATGAACTTTACCCATATCTTCAAAATAACAACAAACACACCTTTAGAAATGTTTAGTGATGAAAATCTACACACACATACTTCTAAATAATTGCCGGCTTTGTATTATTTGCACACCTTATTTTTCCTTTCTTCCCCATTCTTCTGACAGTGACCATTTTTACTAAGGGCAGATTATTAGATTTCCCTTTACTTCCTGGAACTCTGGCACATGTGACTAGGACATGTGACCATACATATCATCTCAGGGGAGGAACACGCCTTTCCCTGAGATCTCGTGAGATTACAGATGAGATTTCCCAGCAATGCTCTGCTGATGTAATCTTCCCAGGATGCAACGCTTGGGTATATTACATGACTTTTGCCAAGGAGAACCAGGAAGTGGAAAACAAGAAATTGTAACTAAAATAGAAATGTTTAGCTAATGAATGTGAGATGATTTCATATCAGCATGTAGAGCTGTATACTGATGTGATTTGTAGCCAATGGGGGTTAACCTTTGTAACCTTTGTGGATTGTCTAATGTTCATGTGATCTGTGTACAATGTCCAACTGAAGATCATTAAATAAAGAATAAAGAAAAATAAACACAGAGCAGCAAGCATGTAAAAATGTGACAGTCACATGAAAACAATGACTTTTCGTTGTTAATGTTAATACACAAGATACACAGCGATTGCAGACGTGATTTCACCGCACTGTTCATCTTAAGAACGTTTGGAACACAAGTCTAATTATTTACCAGCGTGGTATGACAGATCCATCCCACAGCAGTTGGTTGAAGTTTCTTATTTACAATGAACAGCTTCCATCTTGCAGACGACAGCAGCAAAGTGCACATAATGAGCAATTTGTAGCTCACATAAGGTGCTGAGTGTGAGCAGCTGATAGCACACAGGAGAGGAGGGCATCCAGGCATCAACACCGACCATTATCTCTGTACGCCAATCATCTGATGCATTTTTAGGAATATTTATTTTAAAAACTCAGCTGTTTGTCTTTCTGCTTCTCTGTCAATTGCAGAAGAATGCATGTACACACGGACATAACTTTCAAGGCACATGTCCAACCAAAATGTTTTTTTTTCCAGTTTTGGGGTAGGAAAGGGTTAAAATCCCTGCCAGGTTTTGCTGATCCAAGGCTCCAAGACTATAGCAAAAAATTGTATTTTGGTAACTGTATGCATTTAATACATGCAATGATAGTATGAGTATGCAGGGGGGAAGAGAGAGAGGGGAGAGATGCAGGGGGGAAGAGAGGGAGAGAGAGAGAGATGCAGGGGAGAAGAGAGGGAGAGAGAGGGAGGGGGAGAGAGATGCAGGGGGGAAGAGAGAGAGAGATGCAGGGGGGAAGAGAGAGAGGGGAGAGATGCAGGGGGGAAGAGAGGGAGAGAGAGAGAGATGCAGGGGAGAAGAGAGGGAGAGAGAGGGAGGGGGAGAGAGATGCAGGGGGGAAGAGAGAGAGAGAGTGAGAGATGCAGGGGAGAAGAGAGATAGAGAGAAGAGAGAGATGCAGGGGGGAAGAGAGAGAGTGAGAGAGATGCAGGGGTGAAGAGAGGGAGAGAGAGAGAGAGAGAGAGAGAGAATATATATATATTTACATTCCTTTTTCTGCACATTTACAAGCAGGCCAAGCTGTCCAGTAAAAGTGAGAGTTGCAATAGTCATTGTTTATTTTGTTACTGTTCCTTTAACTGTGTAATGTGTTAGCCGGAGTTAAAGTAACATTAAACCCTCAGATTTTTTAACATAAACCAATACTGTAATGTGCGCCTTACTGTAATTCATGGTTGTTTCCCTTCTCTTTGCTGCTCTTCCTTTTAAATCCTCATGTCTTCTCATGCTTGGGGAGAACTTTCCTTTGCAGCTGAGTGCCTCTTCCTGTAGTGCTGGCTCAGGTTGTGAACCTTCACACAGACACCATGTATCCATTCCAGAGACAAGGCAGTCTGCTGCAAAACAGAAGTTCTGCCTAGCATGAGAAGAGAGAAGGATCTAAAAGGAAGAGCAGCAAAGAGAAGGGAAACAACCATGGATTACAGTAAGGCGCACATTACAGTATTGGTTTATGTTAAAAAAATCTGAGGGTTTAATGTCACTTTAAGCTTTAAAAATGCAAATATCCAGCTGCAAAGGCATATCAGGACCCATGTGTATACTAAGTGTATAGTAAAAACTTGCTCAAGATGCCTATACACCTTAGAATTATCGTACAATTTTCGTTTGCGATCGTGTTTTCGTCTGATATTTGCAAGGTTGATGGAACCGCAAATACTGTACAATCGTACGACTGTCGTCTTTCTAGCAGGCTAGAAAATGCCAGTCGAATCGTACGAAATTCGATAGGTTGATGGTGTTTTCGTACGTAAAAAAAATATCGCACTATTAACACTGCTCATGCGCAAACGAAAATCTGTTCTGTCAATCCACGAAATTCGGCCAGGTGATATTGCCAACGGCCGCTGATTGAAAACATCAGTGGTCTGCACATGATGGGGCAGTCGTACGAAAATCGATGGTTCGATTATCGTATGGAAATATTCGTATGGTAATTGTAAGGTGTATGACCAGCTTAAGAATTGGCTGAGACAGATCACACGGGGTTCTCTCAGCTAAAGTGTCTTTGGGAGTGCCTTTTTTCTTTCCGTTGTCTCTTTAGATAGAATTTCATTACTGCTGGATTTTTTAGGTGCAAAATCATAAAAATCATAAAAAAATAAATAAAAGAAAAGATTCAAACTGGAGCAGACAAAATGTGGAGCAGATTTGTACTGCAGCCAATCAGCTTCTCTCTCTCATTTTAAAATCTTACCTGAGCAAACTGAAGAGAGATGCTGATTGATTGCCATGGGCAACTGCTCCACATCCTGTCTGCTCCAGTTTTGATACATTTCCCCCCAGTGTATTTTGTTACAACAATATCAAACATACATATACAAATTAAAAAGTATTTTTCCTCCTGAACTGCCTAGTGCTCACACATTACACTGGTCCAGGAACATCATAGGTCCATCCTCTTCTTCCTTGGTAATGGCAGTGGGTGGTCCTTCCTTCTGGACAGCCCAGCACTCACACATTATACTGGTCCAGGGATGTCATGGGTCTTCTTCTTCCTTGGTGATGGTGGCGGGCGATCCTTTCTCCTGGACAGTCCGGTACTCGCCCAATATGCTTGTCCAGGAACATCATGGGTCCATCCTCTTCTTCCTTGGTATTGTCAGTGGGCAGTACTTCCTTCTGCACAGCCCAGCACTCATACAATATGATGGACCAGGAGTACTGTGAGCCCAGGGGACACCTTGGGCTCACAGTATGACACCCTGGGCTCATAGGAATGGGTTGGATGACATCGGGCGTCATTTAATCCAGAAGAGGAGTGGAGCTGGATCCGAGAGAAGTGAGTCTTAGGGAGACAGTACTAGTGAGGAGGTAAGCGTTGCAGCGGGAGCTAATTATTAAAGTTATTTTACCTTGGTGGGCCACTGATTTTTAAAAGCTGTAAGAAAAATGAAGTTGGGATTTAAATGCTAATTCATAAATACAGAATCCCATCACAACCAATCAGAATTCATGCTGCTCTCAGCAAAGTACAAGGAGGTTGGTGTGGTACACTGCACTGAATTAGCACTTAACATAATTCTGTATTTAACACCCACACCCCACTTCTGTCCTGCATCTCTATTCTCACGTGAAGTGGAATACCTCATACTTCAGTGTTTGGGGGGAGCTTGTGGCTCTTCCCTTTTTCTCCAGTGGCTAGTCAGAGACCTGAGTGCTGTCACATTAGGAGGGGGATTTAACCCTGATGAGTTCTGACCAGACTGACTCGGGGCTTACCCAGATCCACTCCTCACTGCAAACAGGTTCACTTCTTCCTATTGTTACTAATTCTCTGCAGAAGGGGGAGTCTAATGTGACTGAAACGCGTTGGCTGTATCTGACATTATTATTCAAATAAACTTAGATGAAAGACAAGACACAGAGAGCGCCTCCATCGCATAAAAACTTTTTAATAAACGAATAAAAATGGTATAAAGGTACTCACAAAGGACGAATATAAACAGGCATAAAAGGGTCAGAACGAAAGGCGCATATCCACCGGCTGTTCGTCTTCCCTGGTGGTGAAGTGGTTTACGCGTTTCAGGGGTCACACCTCCTTCCTCAGAACCACTTGGGGGTGTTCCCTATTGGTTCTGAGGAAAGAGGCGTGACCTCTGAAACGTTCTATGAACCTTTCGTTCTGACTCTTTCATGCCTGTTTTTATTCGTCCTTTGTGAGTACCTTTTATACCATTTTTTATTCGTTTATTACAAAGTTTTTATGCGGTGGAGGCGCTCTCTGTGTCTTGTCTTGCAGTGCTGAGGTTGTTCTGAACCTGGTGAGAGCCGCCCCGTTATCGCCCTGCACTCCTGAACATCATTGATTAATACTCTCTTGAACCAAAATCTGCTGGCGCGGTGTTTGATTCTGTCTGCTAAACTTAGATGAACCTTCAACCGAGATGACCAATTTTATAAGATTCACTGCTAACCACACATCCAGGATTGGAGCTTACCCATGGCTTTCATATTTTGCTCTGGTGGCTGAATGGAGCGGCAGGGGAGCTAATGTAAATTAAGTATTGGCTGTGTGGGGAGAATGGACTACTAAGCAGCAAGTAGAGGTTCATGTTATGAATAACAACTCTTTATTGAATAATATTATTTGTGTTTCATTTGTTTTTACAAATGTACAAGTTATGTAAATATCCCAGACAGGTAACCTCTTCATGGCTTTCATTGAACTTCCCAGTACCATAAGTGTTCAGCCAGGGCATGCGGGGATTTGTGCTTCCACAACAAAGGGGAAATGCCTGATTTAAATTGATTTGCGATTAGTAGGTTCTCAAGAGGTGCGTTGTTGTCCCATTGCAAACCTAACCGGTGAAGTAAACCCCAAAGCCTTGGGTGGGTGCAACAACGTATGCGGATGGCGCCCCCGTTCCATGAAGTAATAAAGGGTACACTGGCACTCCAAAAGTCCTGAACGTCAAGTTTTTTTATTGGCCTGTCAGGAAAGGTTTTACAGCGTATAATAAGTTCTCAAGAAGACACAATGCTGATCCCATATAAGGAGCCAAAGGGTTCGGAAATGTTCCTGTGTTCTCTAAAGCAACTAGATACCATCAATCATTTTTACAACATAAAGAAACAACCTGATTGGTTGCTGTAAGTGGTACAGATTGTCTGTTGTAAGTCATGTGACCACACGCCCCTGAGGATGTCCTTCACTGTGTTTTCTTCCTCATGGTTGAGGATGATTGCTTGGCAAAGGCGGAGGTTTCTGATAGGTATAACGGCGGAATTTTGACTCCTTTCTGTTTTAGCTGCTGGTAGAAATCTGACCTCTCTGCGATTATTTTCTACAAAGAAGAAAACAAAAGTTTGGGTGAATAATCGCTTTATTTTGTGGCACAGTCCAATCCTTTTTTTTTTTTAATTGCTTAAACGAAACAATCACGACCGGAAAATGAATATTTAGTCTTAAAATATAAGAACTGCACAGGCTTACTTATGAATGATGGGTTTTCCCCATTATATAGCATTATTGACTTTGAATTATAATTGTCTGTTTAAGGCCTCATTCACATGGACGTGCAAATCCATAGGACATGCATGCCCACGCAGGAGAGTCTATCTGTGTCCAAGTGCGTGCACCCTGACCTGTATGGATGTTCAGGTTTGGGTCATCCTGTAGCCACATTCAGCTGTGTCCTGTCATAGGGATCTATAGGCAGCTGCACGCTATTGCAGGCAGCAATCTATTGCAGGCTGCACCTGTCCCTCCCGGGAGCAGGTCTCTGCAGCCGCTTGCCCGCCGGACTGATGTGCATGCCTGTGCGAATGAGGCCTAAAAGGGAAGTATAGTGTACTTTCAGCAAAGTGAATACATTTAATCTGATTGCAGTGATTACCTCAAAGGCATTTTTGATATTACATTTTTAGAAGGTTGCTCTTGCATATTTTTGCCAATATTTTTAAATATAGCGATTTGTAGATCAGCCACTAGAGGGAGCTCTCGGGTGTTTCAGTAGTAATAGGTAGATATGGGAGTTGGTGGACATAAGCCAAGCTGATTGCAGTTTGCAGTAGAAAAGTACACCGCTGTTTGGGGTGCAGAACAGAGCTGGTGGGGAGTCACCTGGAAACGCTTGCATCACAACATTAACTTTTATATCACCATTGGAAATAAAATTAAAGGATAAGTTCACCTTTTGCAAAAATGAAAGAAATGCATAATTATATAAAAAAATATGCATTTCTTTAATATTTGTATTCAAGCCTGGAAAGCATTGCAATTGTGATCACTCAATCACAGCTGCAAAGCTCAGACTTCAGCCCTTTCTCTCCCAGACAGAGCTCTGTTGTGAGGTACAGAGTTTCAGCTAGGAGAGATGGGGAAGGACAGCTGGACTTCAAACTGCATTAAATCACCTCATACAGCGTCCAGCCATCCTCCCTCTAGTTAAATGCGGTAGAGCTGTAACTGTCACTCACGGCTCCCTGCAGGGATTCCCCTCCCCTGTCCGATCCTCCAGCGCTGACTGGCGGAATGGACGGGGGAGGGGGCGGGCACAGCTTGCTCTGCTTCTGGATAGGCAGAGCCAGCTGTAAATCTCGCAGCTGGGTGGATCTTGACAGAATTGTTGGGATCCATTCCGGCTGCGGCGTGCATCTCAGTATACCGCGAGCTGTAGCTGAGACTGATACTGAGCTTTGGGTGACGGGAGAACGCTAGTTTGTGTTCTCCCGTGACCCTTAGGAGAACTATGGGGAAAAGCTCTGACCCCATAGTTCTCCTTTAAAGATTTTTCTTTTTTTATCTAATATGTAAAAAATAAAAAAATATTAAAAAGTCAGCGGATCTGCGAATAACCACCCCTGTAAAATGGATTGCATGGGCAGACCAGGCCGTGTGACAGAGCAATGCATTTTCCACTGTTTGTACATCTGTAATAGGAGGAATGGTGTTGAACAAGAAATGTGCGTGTCATAACCATTTAAAGCATGCCGAATACTCTTTAATGGTGCAGATGTATTCGGTCTTATGACCCGCTCTTTGAATATACAGTCCCTGCTCTGATACAAACATATGTAGTTAGTAACAAACACTGCACAGCTACTATAACAATCAAGGACTACGCTTTGTTACATTTTCAGGTACATTTCTAAAGAGACCCTGTCACCAGCTACACATATTTGCAGGTAAAAGCACAGAAAAAAAACAAGTACTTTAAATGCTTACTTGAAGTTTTTTTTCCTTTCTATAATGTTTTTTATTCACTTGCAATGTGCCTTTGTACTTACTGAAAAATGTGACTGCTCCAGGAGAGTTGATTCCCTGACACATCCCCTCCCTCCTTGCATGTCATAGCCCTCTGCTCATCTGGGAGTGACTAATTAGTGTCTGTGCTGGCCCAGCTCGTTAGCTTCTCCCCTCACCTCCCTACAAAACCTTATGTAGCAACTGGGGAGGTAGTGAAGGGGAATACTATAGATAGGGCCGGGTGAACATTGGGGTTACTGGAGCGCCAGCTCCAGACCCACTACTGAAAATAGGCTGGACCGGTCCAGATCGCCTAACTTGAGTGAGAGCTTTGAGTCTACCAGGGCTGCTGACATCCAGGGCTGCTGAATTTGTATAATAGAATAAGAAGGGATGGTTTTAGTATATTTAATTAGTTCATCATTCAGTCTTCCGTATTTGTATATCACTCATGAGAATTAGTTCATGTTTTTTGTCTGTTTGTTTTGTTTAGTTTGGATATGTATGACTATGTTATGATGGTATAATATAAAATGTTTAAATAAAGATTATATAAAAAAACAAGATAGCGGTGCCCAGCAGAAGTCTCGGGGCTTTTGGATGTTTACACAAGAGAGGCTTTTACAGGTAAATAGCAGGCATGAAATACATTACATTCACATATATTGTAATCCCAAGGGAATATTGCTGCTGAAATGATGGAATGGTCTGGCTACAGGGTCTATTTAAAACTCAACTACAGGTTAAACGTCTGTTTTTAAGGCCTCATTCACACGGGAATCGGCCGGTACGTACAGCTCCATGCTGCGTGCACGGCCCTGTCGGGCCGCTCCCGGGAAGGACAGGTGCTGCGTGTGATTAGTACGCAAACCCTGTCCTTCTCTATGGGAGTCCGCGGCCGAACGCTCACCCGACCTGCACGTCCGTGCAGGTGCCCGTACTCTGACAGGTTGGATCCTGTCTGCGTCCGAGTCGGGACACCTGCACCCATACAGACCTGCACTTGGGGTGAGCGTAGGGTGGGTATGACCGTGTACTCCCATAAAGGACAGTGGCTGCGTACTACACGTGGCACCGGTCCTTTCCGGGAGCTGCCCGATACGGCCGTGCACGCAGCGTGGAGCTGTATGTGCCGGCCGTTTCTCGTGTGAATGAGGCCTAAAACTGTCCTTCAGGTGCCTTTGGAATGTGGAAGAAAACCAAAAGGGAGAACATGCAAACTCCATGCAGATAGTGTGCTGACTGGGATTTAAACCCGGGACCCCCAATGCTCCAAGACAGAGGGCCATTCTACTAAACCACTGTGCTGCCACTCTCAAAATACCTAAACAATGCCTGCATCCAATCAGATTGTTCAGGTATTTGGCCCAGTGGGAGAGTCTGCCATCGACACAGTTTAGCGTAGATGGAAGAATCTGTTGTACTTTTTCCATCTGACCATACAAAATCTGCAGATAATCTATAGGTATATGGTCAGCTTTATACTAAACTTAGGTGTGAAGTGTGAACGGATCCTAAACATTTTTTTTACATACAATTAGCAGGTCTCTAAGTCTATCTTTCCATCCATCTTCTGCATTTATCTGCACAGCAGTATTCAGACTCATAAAAGGTAGGATCAGCACTCTGAGCCAACCAGAGCTCTACTGCTCCCTCTCCGCTCCAACCAAAACACACACAAAAAATGTTTTGCACCAACAAGGGAAAAAATCTTTCCTGACCCCATATCATATCCAATTGCCTTATGGGGGTCAGGAAGGATTTTTTCAATTACACAGCCTAAGAAAAGGCTCCACCACCATGAGGAGGGAAGTGCAGGAACAGAGTTTCCGAAATTCAGTTTGTCAGCTAATACATATAGCTTTCTGTACACCATAGACAGGAACACCCAAGAAGAGAACAATCCCCTGCCATATGATCCACATAATCTGATTGTACAGTTATACTGAGGGATGATACTAGAATTTCTCCCAGGGCTGGTAATGACACCCCAGCACACCAAAATGTATAGTTAAAGGTAATTCTCGTCTGAATTACAGGCTATGTGATACCAATGTGCCTGGAATGTAGGCTATTGTTGGTTGAATAAAGGGGGCTGGACTACATTCTAGTAATGTGTGTATGACATAGAGCAAGTAAGACTCATACATTCAGAAAAAACAGGTTGAGTGCTGTGAAATATTTGTAAAATCAATTGGGGAAAAAACTTCCCTGCAAGTACACATTCCAGGAGGCACTTGGTCTATACTCATAGTTTGAGAAGGTTCTCATTCATCCAGGTCACATGGTATATCTGTAAAAAATAAGTCAAGGCAACTGGACTTGCTGTATTTTTCTTAAAAACGTTTTACTGGTCATCCAACCGGCTTTCTCAATTCAGAATGACTTGTACAAAAAGTAATTTTGTACAAGTCATTCTGAATTGAGAAAGCTGATTGGATGTAAAGTGAAATGCCTTCAAGAAAAATACAGCAAGTCTAGTTGCCTTGACTTATTTTTTACAGATATACTCATAGTTGTTGTTTCTTGAGTTGACAAACAGCAAGATGTGGAAGGTGGATGAAGCCAAAAAGATGCTTTCAATGCACCATAGACAGGAACACCCAAGAAGAGAACAATCCCCTGCCATATGATCCACATAATCTGATTGTACAGTTATACTAACAGATGATACTAGAAGTGAAGTATTGTGTATAAAGGGAGAGAAAGGTAAATTTAGGCTGAATGTCAACAGATAAACATATTTAAATGCGGTTTTTTTTCCTGCCACAAGATTTTTAATGCCAAGTATTTATTTAGCCAAGTTTGTGACCCAGCCAGACAGCACAGCCAAGTCCTGGACCTCCCTGCAGACTACACTTCAGTTTAAAAATACAGCCTGGTCCAGGGCCTCCCTCAGCCTGTGAATGGAGAACAAGGGAGCACACTAATCTTCTCCATTCCTGTAAGAATGTTTACAGTCTTAGACGGAGCAGAAATGCTCAGAGTGCTGATCCCAACTTCAGAATGCTGCTGTGCAGGGAATTACAGAAGGCGGACATGAAGACAAATTTTGAGACTTGCTAATTTTATCTAAAAATACTTTAAAACTGAAGTTTATTAAAACAAGCAATTAAAAAAAAAGACAGAGGACATCTTGTGGTGGAAAATATGTACTGTAAGGGACACAAAAAGCTGACTTTTTTTTTTTTTTTTTTAATATTACCTATTACTAGGCTATTGAATTTGATTTTCTTTTAGCTGGAATTCAGATTTATTTGTTTTTTTAAAGATTACATGACATTTTTTTTTTACCTGCTGGAGTTCAACTTTAAATATACTTAACAATATGATGAACATATGGATTATATGTTATACATAATATTTATTTATTACAGGTATTATTTATATGATGCCGACACTTTTTGCCACACACATACATACTGCACATTCACACAAGTCCCTACCCTCAGAGAACTTACAATCTAAGGTCCCTATTTTACATACATACAGGGCCAATTTAGACAGGAGCCAATTAACCTTCCAGCATGTCTTTGGAGCGTGGTTCCCCACTGTGCTGCTTCAGGGAATATATAATGGTGAACTTGTGCCATGACCATGTTTACATAAACCATCTTGTATAAATTCTGGATTCTGGATTCCCTTTACCGTTTAATTCCTTAAAGTCCTACATGTTGCTTCACATGTATACATGAAGTGTTGGGGGATCAGTAGTACATATTGTGGACTTGCCAGTCTGATTCAGCCTTTTATCAGAACAATGAAAGATGATCTGCTATGGTTACTGCGCTTTGTGAATTCCTAACCGTATTATACAGCAATGTACTTACTTGCATGGTTTCAAGGATTTCATTATCGGAGACTTCCACCTGCGGACCTTTGAACCCCGGAGCTGTGTAAGCGGCTTGTATTATTTTACTGCGGAACCTCTCGAACTGCAATAGGTAGGAAGCAAATTATCAATCATCGCATAATGCATCCCCTCCTTACCATCTTGTCTTGAATTGTATTGTGATGGTAACGTCTTCCTTATATTGTAAAGCGCTGCGCAAACTCTTGGCGCTATATAAATCCTGTATAATAATAATAGTTTATACTGTCTATTTGAGCTTCTGAACTCTAGATAAGATCTAGATGGATAAGTGCACTTTGCCTAATAATGCTCATATTCTTTAATGGAACTGAACTGCCTGAATACTCGCGTCTTTGGAAGACAATGTCACTTTGTGGCTAAAAAAAAAAATGAAGGTATTGCTGGATTTCCACTTAAGCTGCAGTTTAAAAGAAAAATCCATATAAATGTTTGTGTTTTAAATGTTGTGTATTTAATTTATGTGCACTTGTCATGTATTTGTTATAACTGTTCTTTGCATGCATTCAATAGATGACTTCTAGAACAGAGCGTCAAGGGATCATGTTGTTTAACAAAGTCACATCTGTGAATGGGAAGACTAGACATCTATCTGTTATAGTATCAGAGGGACTTGTAGATCTCAATGTGATGTCGCCACACTTGAAGGGCATTGTTTTCTTCTTCTAGCCCCATTTCTGAAGGCCCACACTCTCACAGGGACCTGAGGCTGTGGAAAGAGTCTGCAGGAGCCTATGCATTGCACTAGTAATGCACGGATCAAGCTTGCAATGATCTACAGGCTTCAATGTAAGCATTCTATACAAAATGCACTCGATTCATTTATATACCATTTATTACATTATTGAAAAAGATGGACTATGCTGTTAAACATCACCAGCAGTGGCAGCTTACATAGTTTTGTCCTGGCAGATGTTTCTGTGTATCTATAGCACCACCTCATGGCTGAAATCTCTATTCTAGACAGTCACAGCGTTTTTCACAAAGGGGTGAAGAGTTTGGATAAAGCAAGGGAAGTGAACAATCTAGGCCAACATAGCTGATTCTCCAAAATACTCCAATTCAGCTCACTTTCCAGTTCAGCTACGTTGTCCTAGATTGTTCTCTTCTCCTGCTTTCTCCAATCCCTTCACCCTTTAGTGCATAACCTTGTAATTGTTGGGTGGTCTTCTCTTTACAGACTGTCCCTACGCAAAAAAAGAACATCAGTTTGGCTATAACTCACCTGAACGTTACATTGTAGCTGGTTATGTATAACTGATATGCCTTGTTTTTAAAGGAGAATTATGAGGAGAGTGATTTTCACTCAGCCTCATAATCTGAGCCGACCTGTGACAATGAAACTGTCACAGGTCGGCTCAGTAGATCGGGAAGTGAGGGAACACATACTGGCGCTCACTCACTTCTCGATCTATCCGTGCAGAGAGCCGTGACTGTCACTCACGCAGCTGGGTGGATCCAGACAGAATTGTCGGGATCCGTTCCGGCTGCGATGTCTCAGTATACCGCGAGCTGTAGCTCGCAATATACTGAGCTTTGGGTCATGGGAGGACGCTAGTTTATGTGCTCCCGTTACCCTTAGGAGAACTATGGGGAAAAGCCCTGACCCCATAGTTCTCCTTTAAAGGGAACTTGCAATGTCTTAAAAATGGGGGATGCTGACACCTACTTTTAAAGGGTTATTCACAGAAGGGTGAAGAGTTTGGAGACGGCCGGAGAAGTGAACAATCTAGGACAACTTAGCGGAGCTGGAAAGTGAGCTGAATTGGAGAATTTTTCCCAATCAGCTATGTTGTCCTAGATTGTTCACTTCTCCGGCCGTCTCCAAACTCTTCACCTTTTTGTGAATAACCCTGTTAGAATTTGCTACTTGTGTCGCATCATTCCCATCCTCTGGCTTCATCTACAGGCCCAGGACAATTATGCAGGTCACGAGTTATGACTAAATTGGTCACAATCTCATACTGGGTCAGAGACTCACTGAGCAGTGATGATGATGAGATGGCATGACCTTACAAAGACAGATGAGGATTGTCAAAAGCTTGCACTATAACTTATTTAGCCAGCAAAAGACATTTCCTATAATCTTGTTAATTGACTGCTGCTATCTGCAGCTAACACGGTACGAGGCTTCATTGCCAGACACCAAACAACTTCACCTGCAGTACTTGTAAAACAAAGAATCTATCACAAATCAATTAAAACTGACCCCAAACCATTAGATTTCCTAAAAACATTTGAAAAGAATGTTGCTACAACAGCTGAAGCACCCCCACCCCTGGCAGTGTTGTAACTTATCCCAGTCCCTGTCACATTTGCTAGACAGCTTGGCCAGTGAGAATATTTTTGATGGTGCTCCTTTAGTGGGGCACTAACTCTACTTACCTTGGACTGTAATGCCTCCAGATCCACTCTGACCTGTTGCTCAGACGTTGTCAGGTCCCCAACTTTGCTCTCTGTTTGGTTTCTCTCTTCCTCTTGCCTCCTCATTTGTATCTGGCACTCCAGGATCTCCTTCTGAAGCCTCTGAATGTCACTCTTTAGGTCCCCAATCAGATCATTCCTCTTGCTCACCTCTGATTTCAGTTCAGATGCCAGCTAGAGGACACACCAATAAATACAATATATCACATCAGATACCATAATTTGTCAGTATGTCAGAAGATGGTATAAAACCAGGGCTGTCCCTATAATGAGGGAGCCCGAGGCTGTTGCCTCAGGCAGCATCTCTTTTTGTCATGTAGGGGCATGGCCACTCTGCTGCACAATGTTTGCTGTGTGCCTGCCTCCCCATTTGTGGCCAGCACGTCCTGGGTTGATAAGAGCTGGGTAACCTGGGGTGCTCTGGCCAGCTTCCTGCTTAGTTCCTGGCAACCAGTGTTGTCAGTGGTAGCCAGAAAGAAACGGGGTGCTCTGGGTGGTAGCAGATGGGGTCCAGACTTAAGCGACTTTAATAACAGGAGACCTAGCACCTCTTATACATGTATTCTGCATTCGTTTTCTAATACAGATATCAGATGAACCGCCAGAATCTGACCTCACTTTTCTCTACAGCGGTTAAAGCAATGCAGCTCGGTCAAGCCCGTTCCCCCAGCCTGGGTAAAGAAGCAGCAAAACACAGATGAGCAAATCTCTGTGCTATCTCCTCTTCTCAGGGATCAGAATCACTGAGAATTTATACATCCAGGTAGTGGAGTCCCTAGCCTTATTGTCACCTGAGGCAAGGGGGGTGGTGCATGCCAGCACCACCAGTCATAAGAATAAAGCTGCCCTCTGTAGGCTCCATATCTCACCGTTCGGTTCTTATTAACCTGGGAGGACGCTCTGGCTGGCGCCCCGCTCAGCACCTGGCAAATGGAGATGTCACTGGTTTCCAGGAGCTGGGTGGGACATCAGCCAGAGCGTCCTAGGTTACTAAGGGCTAACTCACAGCACAAACAGTGCGTTTCTGCCCGATTTAGTGCGGCAACGCAATGGATTGCATCCTGGCTGGCTCCCTGCGTTCAGGGGCAGGAAAGGGCAAGGCAGGGCATTGAAGTCAATGACACTGCAGCCACGCCCTCCAGCCAGAGTGTGATTGCCCGCACCCAAACGTGTGGCACATCAATGCCTGCTTTCCGGTCCGGTGCAGTCAGAAAAAAAATAGTGCATGCGTCTGGGCGATCGCACTGCGCTGCCATTGACTTCAATGCACTGCCACACCCCTTCCCGCCCCTGATCGCAGGGAGCCGGCCGGCTTGCGATCCAGTGCTTTCCGGCACCAAATCAGGCCAGAATGCAATGTTTGTGGTGTGAAATAGCTCTTCGAGCTGGGCGGGGAGATGTGTATGGCTCTTACACATCTCCCCACTCTACCTGCCCCCCCATCTCCACGTGACCCAAAGGTATTCCGTCTGAGGCAACAGCCTCAGGCTGCCTCTTTAAAGGGATGGTCCTGCATCCAGGTACTAAAGCTTTCATTTATCTGGTTTAGTAAAGCAACTCCACTATGTTTAAACTGTATGACATGAATTCTAAGTAAGCCATAAATTCAAATTCCAACAGGAAGAGTTTTAGGGACTTCATCAGATTGGTCGCCATAGACAGGTCTCCTTTTAGGAAAAACTTAAATGAACATAATAGAAGATTAGTACAACTTCTAGTCGATGGGTCACATTTTCTTCCATATATTTATACGGTCAGTCACCTGTCTCAGGTTATAAATCTCTTTCTCCATTGCTGCCATAATCTCTGCATGCTTCCTATCTTCACGCATGCTGGAAAACTATTGCAAAAATAAATATTAATATTAATGATTAACAAACACAAATTAAATACATATGTGTAATGTTTACCCGCCCAAGGATGTGTGATCCTGCTCAGCTAGTTTTGTGACACACAATACACTGCAGCTTCCTCTGTCACCTCCCCGCCTTTGTCCTGCTCAGTGTATTATGAATCAGTAACACCCACACTGGGAGTGTCCTCACTGGGCTCTTCCCCTTCCTGTGCCCCAACTTAACTCCTCCCCATCCGGCTCCCAGTGCCTGAGATATGTTAGCAGGTCGGCACTCTGCATTATAACATATTGTGACTAGATCACAGTACCATCTCTGTAAGCATAGAACAAAAACATTGGGGTGCCACCAAATGTAGAAAAATCCAAAGAATTGTTACTGATAAAAATGTCAGCAAGCATGTAGCATTTTCAGAAGGAGAGGTCAGTCATGGCATTTACATTAGGAGATCAGAACTAACTCCATAGTACCCAGTTAGGTCACAGGACAGAACAAAAATCACAATGCAGCTATCGTTGTACCTTGTTAGACATCGCCTGCAGCTGTACTCCCCTTTCTACGAGTTCCCTATGTAAACTTTCTTTTTTAGACTCCGATTTTCTGAGCTTGGACTCGTAGGAGAAGATAGTTTTCTGCAGAGAGGAGATGGCACCTGCAATGATTAGGGAAATGTCATTTTTGCCCATGTTTGCGGTCATTCCTCCTTCTTAGCATGACATATAATACTCCCAGTTCAACAGTGCCATCTCATTGTTGGCGTATCCAAGACATACAAGAATGCAGGGGCTGGCCCAGTAAGCTCCCCCTTAGAGATGTATGCATTAAATGTACAGTATTGCAGTGTTTTAAAATAATTTGTTTGTTATAGGTGAGTTGATCGTAACAGTACCTTTTGAGATTTCATAATCCTTCTTTAGGACCTCTATTTCCTCCTGAAGTTTCTGTAGAATTGGACTTATTTCCTCGGATTCATCCACAGATGGAGCACCGGCAATCTGATCCTCTGGTGTAGCTGTGAAGTCCATGATCTGTTCTTGTGCTATGTTCTCTCCATCTAACAAATGTGCCGTGTTCTCATCATCATGTAAGCTCTGCTGATGGACAAAGGTTGACATCTTAGTATGCTGGTGGCCTGATCTTCGATGGTGTGGTCCATGGCCAGGTCACCTTTTAGGCCTGATCATTGATGGTGTGGTCTATGAACAGGTCACCCTTTAGGCCTGATCGTTGATGGTGTGATCTATGACCAGGTCACCCTTTGGGCCTGATCATTGATGGTGTGGTCATTGACCAGGTCACCCTTTAGGCATGATCATTGTTGGTGTGGTCTATGACCAGGTCACCCTTCAGGCATAATCATTGATGGTATGGTCTATGACCAGGTCACCCTTTAGGCATGATCATTGCTGGTGTGATCTATGACCAGGCCACCATTTGGGCCTGATCATTGATGGTGTGGTCTATGACCAGGTCACCCTTTAGGCATGATCATTGATGGTGTGGTCTATGACCAGGTCACCCTTTAGGCATGATCATTGATGGTGTAGTCTATGGCCAGGTCACCTTTTAGGCCTTGCACACATGGGCTTCAGTTTGTATAAGAGCTGTGTGCCGCAGGCTTTTTACAAAGCACATGCTAAGCTTTTCTGAAGCAACTTGAACAGCTTTCTTGAAGCCTTAAAGTCACCCTTCAGCTCCGGTTTGGAGATGATAAACAGACCACAATGAGAGTCATCATCCTCACTTTAAACAAGTTGCTAGCAGACTTCAGCAGGCTTTTGAATAATTTCAGGTAGTGATGAAAGAGGACCTTACACCGGAGTGACAAGGTCCACTTATTCGAGGTGCATTTCCTACTCCTCTACATCTAACGCTGAATGAAAGTGGAAAACAAAATCCTGTGAGGGGAAAAATGTATTTCTCTTCCCCCAACTTCCTCCTGTGGCGCCTAGGTAAAGGTGACGTCATACTCCTTCTGGCCAGATCTTGGAGAATGTTCCGTAGCCCCAATCTCACAAGAAGATGATTCTGCACGGTGTTGCAGCATCTTCTCACAAGAATCAGGCTACTCGTCATTTCCAGGTATTTGGTTTGCACCAGGGTGACATCACCTGCTGCACTACAAAAAGTGGGGAAAAATTAGTACATAATCTATTTTTCCCTCCACAAGTTATTTTTTTTAAGGAAGGGATAGGTCACATTGAGTAGGTGACCTTGCCCAAAGTGCAAGGTTTGCTTGAGGTTTTTTCTGAAAGACTGCTTAAGGTCACCATTGGCAAGATTCCTGCTCTTGTTACCAGGGAGGTAACAAAAGTGATGGAAATCCCTTTGGGGATAGAGCTAGCAACAGAAATGTTTTATTTATTAGAGTGGAGAAGGGCTAGAACCTCTGCCAGGTTCTTGTGTCCCTGTTATGAAGGATACCCCTTTCAAGTGATCCCTGTGACACCAGAAGAGGAAATGAGGGGAAAATGGGTCAGTGGGATAAGTAGGTACAGGCAGCAGCATAGCCGAATGTAAAATATATATATACTGTATATTGTTAGGAAAACTACCAACCCAACTATATACCCTATATAACCCACCCTGTGCTAAACAAAATATGATGGTGAAATACAGAAGAAAAAGGGAGATGGGTCGCAAGATATTCTATAACCCACAAACAATCTCCTACATGGCCAAAGAAAGAAGGGGGAGGGGATTAGCGAGGCACTCCACGTGTTTTGTGGCGATTAGCCAGTTCTTCAGGAGTAGAAATATCCCATAAATGATATGAATCACAGCAGTCCACACTTCAGAAGTACCCTCAGCCCTGGTGAAGGAGGACTTTTGTAGTCCCCGAAATGCATTAGCTTTCTTTTGTTAACTGCTACCTTTAAAGGAGAATGAAACTGTCACAGCTCGGCTCAGTAGATCGGAAAGTGAGCAAACACATACCGTCGCTCACTTCTCGATCTATCCCTGCAGAGAGCTGTGACTGTCACTCACGGCTCCCTGCACGCATTCCCCCCCCTCCCCTGTCCAATCCTCCAGCGCTGACTGGCAGAACAGACGGGGGAGGGGGCGGGCAGAGCCAGCTAGATAGGCAGAGCCAACTGTCACTCACGCAGCTGGGTGGATCCAGACAGTATTGTCGTGATCCGTTCCGGCTGCGGCATCTCAGTATACCATGAGCTGTAGCTCGCGGTATACTGAGCTTTGGGTCACGGGAGAATGCTAGTTTGTGTTCTCCCGTGACCCTTAGGAGAACTATGGGAAAAGCCCTGACCCCATAGCTCTCCTTTAATAAAGACCATTCTGGACCTTTACAAGTTGGTTAACGGCAATGAAGACCTTTGACCGTCCTGATTGCTATCTATGCCTTCATGCCCCACTAACGCCCATTGTGCTCAATTCTTGATTTCTTCTGGTGTCACAGGGATAAAAAGTGAGGAATAGCCTTCCCCAGGAAGACACAGACAACAATTAAAGCTGGCAAAGGGTCTTACCTTTCCCCACTTTTTCCATAACTAAAAAAAATGATTTTAACTAGACTTGGACTTAAGCATAAGAATACATCTCAATAAGGTGAAGTACATTACATATGAATACACAGTTAGTAATTTGTTTGTAAATAAGAATATTTTTCTAGACACAGAAATCATTAAATTATGTTTTGTTACCTCAACTTCTATTGGTGGGCTGTGACTGTCTCTCTGCATCTCAGAGAAGCTCCCAGCTAAGGATATAGTGGAAACATTTCTCTCTGAGCTTATGGACAGATCCTTGTGACTTGATGGTGAATTCAGAACCTCTTGTATTCCATCATGACCAGTGGAGAATTCCTCGATGTCAGGAAATCCATTTGTACTATGGGAGCTTACATGATCCATCTGCTCTAATGAAGAACAGTCCTAAAATAGCAATGAAATGATCAGTAACCATGAGAGACAGTAGCCCCGCGCTCCTGAAAGCACATAGGCTACTAATAGACCACCATTATTACAATATTCCATTAAAAGAAGAACTATGGGGTCAGGGTTTTTCCCCATAGTTCTCTTAAGGGTCACGGGAGGACAAAAACTAGCGTCCTCCCGTGACCCAATGCTCAGTATACCGTGAGCTACCGCTCGCGGTATACTGAGACCGCCGCAGCCGGGACAGATCCCGACAATGCTGCTGAGATCCACCCAGCTGCGTGAGTGACAGCCGACTCTGCCTATCTAGAGGCAGAGCTAGCTGTGTCCGCCCCCTCTACTGTCCGTTCCTCCAGTCAGCGCTGGAGGATCGGACCCGGGAGGAGGGAAATCTCTGCAGGGAGCCGTGACTGACAGTCACGGCTCTCTGCAGGGAGATGAACGAGAAGCGAGCGAGCGACGGTATGCGTTTGCTCACTTCCCAATCTATTGAGCCCACGTGTGACAGTTTCATTGTCACACGTTGGCTCGATCTATGAGGCTGAGCGATTTTCACTCACGTCATAGTTCTCCTTTAATTATGTCATCCACGTCTGGTCATAGGAATGTGATTAGACTAATGACTCCAGGGAACGCAATGGTGTTTTCTCACCACAAAGCACTTGCACCCAAGATCAGTAAGTGAAACATTCAATGTAGAAAATGTTTACCTTGCTCCTTCATTTCCACAAAATTCTTTGTTAACAATTAATATTTTTCCCCATGCAAAAACTAATACCACCACCTGCTAATTTAAATATTTAAGTGAATACCAGATACAAAAGAGTAGTTTGGAGTAGTACATAATGTGAGGCCCATAACACTCATCTAGGGTCAGCACTTGGCTGGTCATTTTTATTTGACAAAATTTTTATGAACTATAGAATAAGTATGGGGAGCTTTTTGTCATAAGCTTTCTTTGGTACATGATGTGATGATTGGGGATATTAGCACACGTGGTGAGCGCTTTAAGGATGCAGTCCACTCGCAATACCATCTGTTTAAGGGCCTGGTAGCCCACTTTTATTCAAACGAAAGTTCATATATCCCCCTTGGATACCCTCGCAGGGGTTGTTCAGCATAACCTCCATGAAATGCTTAAAAAAAACACAAGTATAGCATTCTGGCTTTCACTTTACACATTACCACTTCTGACCCACCGGTCCTCTTTGAAGTGCTGTACCACACTAGTACTGGCGACCCCAGGCTCACGGCTCTCCTAGCCTCACCAGTTCTCTCCCAGCCTCCCTGGCTGTCTCCAGCACACACACCACCTGACTCCACTTTAACTTCTGGGGGAGTCCTCCTGACCCCGGAACACTGTTCCTATCCCAGCAAGAGCTCACCTGACTCCTCTCTGACTTCTGGGGGAGCCCTCCTGACCCCTGAAGTGCCCACAGTGTGCTGTGTTTTCTTTTAGAGAAATGGATTATAATAGGGAAGATTACACTGTAAAGTTCCCTATTATAACCTATTTCTCTATCCCAATGTTGAATTAAATATTGCAGTCCAGTGCGTTGCTAAGTGAAGGGTCCAGTGCTTGTTAAGTTAAGGGTCCAGTACGTTGCTAAGTGAAGGGTCCAGTGCATTGCTAAGTGAAGTGTCCAGTGCATTCCTGCGTGCAGAGTCCAGTGGGTTGCTACGTGCAGGGTCCATGGCGTTGCTAAGTGCAATGTCCTGGGCGTTGCTAAGTGCAGGGTCCAAGGCGTTGCTATGTGCAGGGTCCAGGGCATTGCTAAGTGCAGGGTCCAGGGGGTTGCTAAGTGCAGAGTCCAGGGCATTGCAGAGTCCAATTCATATACTATTCTGCATTGCTGTATAATGATTTGCTGGGATTTTTAGTCCCTCTACAGCCGGTGCCATTCTGCATTAGAGTGTAAGCGAATCATAGAATAATGTGACTGGCTCAGTGTTCTCTGTACAGCACTGTGGTATATGTCAGAGATATATAAATGTATAATAATAGTGTGCGACTGTGGGGGTGGCTGGTTTGCTGCTCACATAAGTTAGGTTGAACTTGCCAAAAGGTTCTTTGGCTAGACCAGTTAGCTTAGTGGACTGATAAAAGGGGTCGGAAAGTCCAATTACCATTCTTACCCCAGACATTGCAGGGTTTACTGTGGGTTCACAAACCAGAAAATGTCAGCTGTGTACCATGACAGCCCTAATAAAGATATACTATACGTCTCCCTTAGGATAGCACCTAACAAAGAAGTATACTATTTTCTTATTAGGCCTATACAGTCAAAGAGGATGAGGATTCCTGCCCTGTAACCCCCTATGGTGTTTATGATTTAAGTGGAATGGACCCCATTGAGTCACCTGAGGTGACACAAGAGGTCTGTGCTTTTTTTGACATGAGTTTCCTTTATAAGGTAGGGGCACTCTGCAAGTATTGTACTGGTGACCATATTTCTTGTTGTTTGCTAACACATCTGGTAAACCAAACATTCACTCAGCAGAGAGAACAATGGACTATGGTCCACCCATGAGTGTCCATTTTAATTTTTCACTACTTGTTCCTGTCTAGTTAGTCAAGTTGTCTACAGTCAATCTTACCTGACCTACATACTCACATGGACCCATCCGATGACAGTTTAATGCCAGTACGTACTAAACTGTCATATTATCTCTATGCTGGCACTGCAGAATAATGATCTATTGGCTTATTAATTCCACCATTCCCAACATACTGTTTCCAGATGGGGATAGCCCGATGGTAACTACTGCGATCAATTATATAGGTAATTGCTACCCTGCTACTTAAATTGCTAGTTGTCTGGCTGTCATTTTAATCTTTCCCTGCCTTCAGCATTTTAGAAGTCATTGATTCAGATTGAGTATTCTGATCAGAAATTCTGATTTCACTTGGTGCAGGCTTGTTCCAATTCAGTGGCTCACAAAATATTCAAGCCAAAAGGTGTGCATAATAGACAGACATGAAGCATATTTAGAAGGGGATCAGCAACAGCAGTCCAGTACTTCTCTCATGACAGATCTCCTTTAGGCATCTGATGTCTCTGAGTGCCTTTCACGTATACGAACTATATGCCAGGGGTAGCCAAACTTCGGCCTTCCAGCTGTGGTGAAATTACAATCCCATCATGAATCTGCCTCCGGAAGTCATGCCTGTGGTTGTCAGTCTTGCAAAGCCTTATATGATTTGTTGGAGGGCCGAAGTTTGGTTACCCCTGCTATATGCCAATGTGTAGCAGCTGGAAGTATAGCACTATACAAAGAATTAAAACAAAGTCCAGGAAGATGACCGACCTCCTCTCTGCTGGTACGTGGTCGGCTTGTCTGCTGGAGATCGCCCTGAAGCTGAGAGATCTCATTCCTGAGAGTTGAAATGATTTGATCCTTCCGCTTACTATCCACTTCGTACCTGGAGAGACGATTTATCTCTTCTCCCAACTTTAAAAGACATCGCTCCTAAAAACACATACATGGTGTTGGCGAGCCTCATGGTATCACTTTACATACAGTGACCCTGTGGTCACTTTACAAAAGCTAAACAGAGTCACAGACAGCAAAAAAAAAACCCTCCCAGGGGGTCTAATTCTTCCCTGATCTATCCAAAACAGATAGTTGGAATAACACTTTAAGTTGTAGAATGGCTTTTGTATTACTATGGGATATTTTTTGTAATATCTTTGTATTATAATAGAGCACAATACTTTCATTAAACTGTATATATCACTCAATATTGAAATCTAGATGAACAGCAGCTGAACGGATATATGTAATGAAAACCACTATGGAGATGATTCTATCGTCTTTTAAATAAAGCTATGTGCTTTTCTCAGCAATGTCTCTAAAATAGTATAAATAATGTCTGTTGTTAGCCATTTTAGGATGAGAACAGTGTGCTTATCATGTAGCAGAAAGTCAGCTATGTGTAGAGGAACCATGGACATTAGATGATGATTGGACATCTGAGCACAACGAGTCCACCTAAAATTACTGAACTACCCAAGCACACATCTTTTTCTACATATAGGTGGCTTGGGATGGGGAGGCGAGGGGTGAAAGCTGAGTGAATAGACATTAGTTTGGCTAGTTCTTGGGGGAAACAGGGGCAAATGGTTGAATATAGTTAACAAGGTCGAAGGCTAGATCCACCGACATTAATAAATTGGAGGTGCTGATCATGGCCACTGATATAAAGATCCTTTGATCTAGATAGAGCCTGGTGGGGGCAGTCATCTAAAAGTGACACTAAACTCAGGAGTTAAACCATAAAAATGCATTCACGTACCCTAAATATTAATAGAAATGCATCTTATTTGTCGAATCCCAGCCAGGTCACTATGTGCAAGGAGTTTGAATGTTCTCCCTGTGCTTGCATGGGTTTCCTCCTGGTTTCCATGCTGGAAGGTAAATTGGCTCCTGTCTAAATTGGCCCTTTTATGTATGCATGTGGGATAGGGACCTTAGATTCTAAGCTCCTTGAGGGCAGGGACTGATGGGAATGATCACTGTGTAATGAACTGCGTAAATTGTTGGCGCTATATAATACCAGTTATAAATACAAAACATTTATAAATACATCACTCAGCTGTAGATTCTCAAACCATCTCTGAATTGGTGCTGACACTGACCTTCCTTCTGGAGGGGGGCTACTTTTGTTCCCCATGGTCCCTGTGTGTGTTGTAAAGTAGCCACCTCTCCAAGCTCGCTCCCATGATGTATCACAATCTCAATATAAATTAGTAAACTAAACATGAGATTGTAGTCTATCACAGGAGTGAGCTTGGAGCGGTGACTACTTTACAACACACACAGGGACCATGGGGAACAAAAGTAGCCCCCCTCCAGAAGGAAGGACAGTGTCAGCACCAATTCAGAGATGGTTTGAGGATCTACAGCCGAGTGATACACAAATAATCATCTTGTCTTGAATTGTATTGTAATTGAAATGACTTCCTTATATTGTAAAGGGCTGTGCAAACTGTTGGCGCTATATAAATCCTGTATAATAATAATAATCTACATTTTTGTTAATAGTTAGGGTACTTGAATGCATTTTTAAGATTTAACTCTTGTCACTTTAAATTAGGAAACACACAGAAGTTGGTAAATTCTACCTTTTCATGGAGCACCGTTATATACCACGGCGACTTTATCTCCACAGAGGTGAGATATGTCTGAGGACTTTGATGTCCATTTTGATAGAGACTCAGCGATGATTCATCCCAAATGTTGCTTCTGGGGTAATCAGTGGAGCTATGAATGTGAGGGAGTTTCCTGTCTATAGTATTTAAAACAGCAACAAAAGAAACAAAGTCACATCAAGTACAGCTCTGTAACAGGGGATACAACCTTTGTCAGGTAGATTAGTGCTCTGTTCTCTATATCTTTTACTGTGAAATTACATAAAACTTTAAACTAATATTACCCCCGGGGCTTTATCTGTTAGGCAAAGGGCAAAGGGCAAAATGCAGAGAACAGCAATCCAGAGGTCACCAATGGATTATTGGTGACTGCAAATTGGGCAATGATGGTTGTTCTTTACACTGCTTTATTGAATAGGCCAAGTATGTACACATCCCTCTTGACAAAAAGATGAGAACTGACCAGAAGACCTTTGGATATGGAAATAATTACGGCTGATTTCAGACGATTTATGGCTGAAATCAGCCGTACTGAGTACATAGTTTGGCAAACTTCACTTCGGCTGGGTTATTCACTCGGCTGCCTTCGGCACCTTTGTGAATAACACCGACAGTGTAAGTCAAACAGTGTAAGTCAATGCAAGCAGCCAGCAGCGTGCATGCGGACAGACCCCGTGGGACACAGAAGACACAGCAGTCAGCGCTGAATCAGCACTGAAGGAACGCCTGAACTGGAAAGACAAAGATGACTGGATCTAGAGGCATAATTTTAGGTAAATCCTTAAAGCAGTATGGGGGGGGGG